GAGAGGAAAAAGGCATGCTGCGCTCGAGTCTGTGCCTTCGTGAAGAAGTCAGCCAACTGTAATTCTGAGGGCACATAGTGAAGAGCGAGAGTCTGATCCTGCACAGCAGCACGCACAAAGTGGGCATCCACACTGATGTGCTTGGTGAGCTCATGCTTCACCGGGTCACGCGCAATACTGATAGCACCAGTACTGTCTGACAGTAAGGGAGTCGAGGTAGTAGCAGACACACCAAAATTCTCAAGTAACCATCATAACCAGATCACCTCAGCCGTCAACATAGCCATGGCGCGCAACTCAGCCTCTGTACTCGAGCGAGAAACTGCAGTCTGTTTCTTTGTCTTCCAGACAATAAGAGAGCCACCAAGAAAGACACAGTAAGCAGACAGCGAGCGTCGATCAGAGGGATCACTAGCCCAGGTAGCATCAGAGTAAGCCTGGAGCTCAAGAGAACTGGAGCGAGGAAAGAAAAGACGCTGAGAGATCGTGCCACGAAGATATCGTAGAACACGGAGGAGGTGACTATAGTGGACAGAGGTGGGGGCTAAAACAAATTGACTCAGGATGTGAACGGGATAGGAGATGTCAGGACGCATAATAGCAAGATAGACAAGGCTACCAACGAGGTGACAATAGCGAGTGGTATTAGGAAGAGGGTCACCATCAGAGGCACGAAGCTGAACGTTAAGCTCCATAGGAGTCACAGCAGTGCGGTCATCACTGAGAGCAGCTCGAGCAAGAAGATCCTGAATATATTTCTCTTGAGATATGTAGAAGCCATCAGAGGTGGAGGAGATCTTAATCCCAAGAAAATAGCGAAGAGGACCAAGATCAGTCATGAGGAACTAGTCGTGAAGGCAGGCCTTAACAAAGGCAATGTAGTCAGAGTCATCACCGGTGATGATCATGTCATCAACATAGAGAAGGAGAAGAGTCCGACCACGAGCAGACGTGTGAACAAACAACGGGGATCATGATCACTGGGCAAGAAACCAGCTGCAGTCACCACAGAGGCGAAGCGCTCAAACCAAGCGTGAGGGGCTTGTTTAAGACCATAGAGGGAGCGGCGAAGTCGACAGACCATACCATCAGGAGCATAGTACCCCGGTGGTGGCTGCATGTAAACCTCCTCACGCAGCTCGCCATTGAGAAAGGCGTTCTGGACATCAAGTTGAGAGGTAGACCACTGACGAACAGAAGCCACGGCAAGGAGAGTGCGGACAGTGGTCATGTGAGCAACAGGAGCGAATGTCTCGTCATAGTCGCGTCCCTGCTCCTGCTGAAAACCACGGGCCACAAGACGAGCTTTGTAGCGCTCAAGAGAACCATCGGAGCGAGTCTTAATCTTGTAGACCCACTTGCAGGTGATGGGACGAACACCGGAAGGGAGGGAAACCAGCTCCCATGTGCCAGAGCGCTCAAGGGCAGCAAGTTCTTCAGCCATCGCAAGCTGCCATTCAGGTTGAGTCATGGCAGTACGATAGGAAGTGGGCTCAGCAATGATAGAGAGACCATACCGATCAGGAGAGTAGCGATCAGGCGGGGGGCGAGGACGAGCCCGGAGGTTGTGAACCGGGGGAGGCGTGAGGAGAGGTGCACCAGAGGTGGAAGGCGCGTCAGAGGAGACATCCTCAGAACGAGGGCGACGAGTATAATGAAGAGGAAACGGTGAGAGAGGGTGGCGGACTGGAGATGATGGTGGAGAGGTGGAGGATGAGGATGGAGAGGAGGGTGTCGGTGGTGAAGGAGAAGGAATGAGAGGTG